AATAATTCCTGGATCTGAATACGTAAAATTTCACGAATTAACCAACTCCCTCTGGGATCACACGTACACATAGTGAATGGAGACGACGAAGGAGGAATCGCAGGAAACAACTAAAGGGTCCTTGTCGACCTGTGAGGAATAGTGGCTGGTGTTCCCGACTCGTAGATAACATGTGTTTGTCCTAAAATACGTAAAATCTAAAGTTGGATTGTGTTTAATACAAACCCACGCCACACCTCTGAATGACCCCTCTTGGTACACCTATAACAGACCAACTAACGGGTCGAAAATATAGTGGGACAGGAAGCCTTGTAAAAGTAAAGCGTGCCGATTTTGAAATCACCGCAAAAGACTCCTTGAAAACGTCGAGAAAGACAGACTTTCAGTCCTTTTTTTTGTTATAATTAAGGGTTTTCGATGTAAGCTTTTTGCATAGTTGTTTTGTCCGTGTAGGCTGTGTTTTTACGCTCTACGACCTGTATTCTTGTTTCTATTTATTGCGTGTGTTCTTTTATGACGGTAATTGTATGTAGTTATTATTGATGATAGTACATATCACAGTTCGGAAAGTAGTCTTTTTTACATTCCAACTTTCATTGATTAATCTATATACAAGTACGCTTTTAATAGAATACGCGTCTGGTAAATTTTTTTTTTTTTTTCGTAGGATGGTGACCAAACCCTAAGAGGAAGAGAGATTTGAAGGTCCCGTAAAAATCGACGTAAGGCGAACCGAAGGAAACGCAAAAAGGGAGTGGTTACCCTACAAAACTGGTAACTGGTGTCGGGAGTACTTCTAGATTACTCTCACCATTTTGTATATCAATACAGTTCTACGGAACACTGTCACAACGGGTTAGTTTTTATGTGTTAATTATTCGATATATTATATATATATATATATATACAAAGTGGTATCTAATAAATTAATTTTATTCATTTATTGCCACAGGGATTGTCCAACTATCTATCTATCCTATCTAAGTCTAGAATTTATACTTTTTAATGGTTTATATGATGTTTTCATCATCACTAGGAAAGTAATAAACATAGTTGTATCGGAAATTCACGTAGAAAAACCGAAGAGACTTCTTTGGGTTCCCACGTCAAATAAAAGTAACATTCCGTTCCGTTCAAATAAATATATATATCGCGAAATTTGTGTTTAGTTAAGTTCACCGAAAGTATTTACTGACATAAATTTACGGTAAATTGATTACAGTAATAAAAACATTTCGTGAAACTTACTGAACCAATTTCGACGATAATATATGTATTTGAACGGAACGGAATGTTACTTTTATTTGACGGGCACCCAAAGAAGTCTCTTCGGTTTTTCTACGTGAATTTCCGATACAACTATGTTTATTACTTTCCTAGTGATGATGAAAACATCATATAACATTAAAGTTATAAAATTCTAGACTATAGATAGATAGGATAGATAGTTGGACAATCCCTGTGGCAATATGAATGAATAAAATTAATTAGTAGATACCCTTTGGTATATATATATTTAATATATATATCGAATAATTAACACATAAAAACTAACCCGGTTGTGACAGTGTTCCGTAGAACCTGTATTGATATACAAAATGGTGAGAAGTAATCTAGAAGTACTCCCGACACCAGTTACCAGTTTTGATAGGTAACCACTCCCTTTATTGCGTTTCCTTCGGTTCGCCTTACGTCGATTTTTACGGACCTTCCAAAATTCTCTCTTCCTCTTAGGGTTTGGTCACCATACCTACGAAAAAAAAAAANCTTTTCACAGGCTCTGAGCTCATTTTAGCTTTGCAGTGCGGTGCAGGTTGAGTGAACACACTGAGCCGCAGGAGCTGATTTGTGCTGATTCCCGTGGCCTATTGTGTGCACCACGGCCAGGTGATTGTGTGGGATCTTGCATTTGGCACTTGTTGCTGTTGTTTTCCACAGAGATGCTAATCATCAAGCATGCGCCAGAGGCATGATTAAATGTCACACAGCTCCTTTGGTTGTGGCCCCCTCACTGTGAATAAACCCTTCTCACCCACAGGCCGAGGAGTGTGGCCCAAGCAGCAGAGCTACAGCTCCCCCTACAGCTCGTACTGCCAAACACAACTACAATCAGGACAGTGTGCAAAGGTTGTTTTTTCTTCATTCAACATGAGTTTAAAAAATGTTAACCATGTGTTTCGGAATAGATATTGATTTTTTCCCCACTTATACCTAAACACATGACCATGTAGTAGTTATTATGTTGTAGTTGCATATGTATTGCATAATGGGCCATTTATTAAAACAAATAAGTCTTTGGAAATAATTGAGTGATAGAGATGGGGGAAAAGATAAGAAGCCAAGACAGTCATGTGGTTTATTGATCTCTAAGTTATATGGACTCCTTGATCATTGTGAAATCTGTTTTAAGTAGCTGCACAGTATGAAACATATGTGCAGTGGAAAAAATATATATACATCTCCTTGTGAACTATACTCAAAAATAAAGTCACCAAACAAACTGATTCATGGCTGTAGCTAAACTATGAAAAGTACTAAAATCTTACTTTTCAGTATACTAGCAATTGTTTTTATTATCTCCCTATAAACCACATTGGCTTTATGACACTTGATTTAAGTTTAAGTTGTTTTACCATTATAAATGTTATATTTTGCAGACTGCCATTACTGATATTAAGGCATGAAGAGCCCCTTTTAAATGTGTGACACTGTAATTAAAAGGAACAAACGGAAACACAATAAGGTTTATCATTTTATAGTAAGCTTAGAAAAAAAACCTACATTTAAAAAAACGTCCTGAATATTCAAGAACCCAAAGGCAACAGACATGTGCCAACAAGGTGTGATAACAATTGCATTGACAAAGGTAGAATCATCATGTCAAACAGTCAGCAATATTTGACTTAAATGTTAAGGACAAGCACAACTTAAAGATAAAGGCAGTTATATATTACATTTCTTTCTAAAGAATGCTCTACATCATTCTTTGGTAATTTATCTCTGTTAGATAAGAATGCATCTTGTTTTTTGCAATGCCGCTATTTTCCATTATCTTCATTTCTATTAATCAAATGTGGATAAAGAATCAAACCATTCAGCTGTCTTTATCATATTGTATTTCTTGTAAGAGAGTTCAGTCAATCATACAGAGAGCATGCTGTCTGCAGAGTGCCAGACCCATAGTACAGTTTGCATTGGATATTAAAACACAGAGTGGCGAAAGGGGTGGGGTGTCATTCTGGAAGTTAGGGAGGCAGTATCAGGACGTTCTCCGTTCAACAGAAGTTGAAGTTCATACTGTTGTTAACACATCTTATAGTAATGTAAGCAAGCACACATAGAAATAAAACATGTTTTAGTTACAACCCTAAGAAAACAGTAGGGTCACCAACGCTTTAAACAGCTGTGTGGCAACAGCCCATCGTATGATGGGGGTGACTGAGGCCATTTTGAAGCTGGTGTGGACTATACCAGGAGCCAGAGAAGCGTTAATGATGACCACCATGTGGGGACAGAGGGTGGGTAGGCAGTCCTTGACCAGGGCTGTGGGCATGGGGTCCAGGGAGCAGGTGGAGGTCTTGGCCGAGCTGACTAGTTTGGCCACTTGGAGAGCATCCACAGGGGAGAAGGAGGAGAGGTTGCAATGGGAGAGGCGTGGCGCGGGGGTGGTTGCCAGGTGGCTGAGGTGCAGGTAGGGGGGAGGGCCAGGCGCCAGGAGCTGCTGATGGATGGCCTCGACTTTCGCCTGGAAGAAGTCGAGGAATTTGGAGCACAGATCGGGAGCCCCTGAGGGCTGGGGGGCGTCAGGGGGGCAGAGTAGGCGGTTGATGGTGGAGAACAGTGTTCTGGGGTTGCTTTGCTGGGCACCGATGAGATGGGAGTAGTAATGACTCTTGGCGTGGGAGAGAGCTTCCTTACAAACTTTCACATGGTCATGATAAGCCAGGAGGTGGACCGTGAGACCAGTTTTTTTAGAGAGCCCCTCTTGTTACGAACTGAGACACTTAGAAGGTAGGATCCAATTGCACGACCCGGGAGACAGAGGTAAAGTATTTGTAAGATACTTTATTTTTTCAAGAACAGTACAAAAATGGAGAACAAAATGAAAACGCTCACGTAGTGAGGATCAAAACTTTCACAAGAGCACTTAGAGAGCATAGACCTGACTGTGGCAAAAGACAAGAGCAAAGATCTGACCA